AAACCAGCCCCATGTGGCAGGAGGTGGCAGGGAGGAAGGCAGGGTGGTGAGGACATGAGCAGTGCCATTCTCTTAAGCTAGCCCCTGAAAAACCCTGATCCTCATCCCCAGACAAAAGAAGTAAAACCTACGCTCCTCTCTCTTCGACTCAAACAAAAGGCACTCACTCTCAGAATTGTTAAGATTTGCCTAATAATCTCAGAATTTGTTTAAGCTCTCGATTTACCTTGGTAAATGATCACACATATTATATGCCTGGCTGGGTTTTGGAAGCATGCTCCCTGAATAATACAACATTGATTTCTTTCTTGTTTTATTTTCCCCAAGTATTCTCCAAGAGTCATAGATTCGTTGTTCAGGTGTGCTTTTTCCTTCTTTAGTGCACAGTGTTATCTTTATATTAAGTGTGCTTCCTTACAAGAACACACATCCTTCATTTATCAAATCCCAATTTATGTGTATTGAACTATCGTGTTCTCATTCCTATGTTTACTTCATGCAATATTATTTTGGGGGTATCTGAGGTCCTAATTCATTCGTGGTAGCCAATTCATCTCAGTTTACCTGGGCCTTCCCTGATTTTAAAACTGAAAGTCCTGTGATCCGGAACCCCCGCAGTCCCAGGGATGGCTGGTCACCTTACTAAAGGTTATTCCTGACAATTGGCCTTAATGCATTTATTCAAGAATTTTAAGCTCATCTCTTCTTTTCCGCTTCTTGTCACTTTTTTTTCATTGTATCCAGTTTTACTGGGTTTCGATAAATTTCCCCCTTTCTTTCCAAATTCTAAGCATCATTGTTCATTAGAGTTGGAAGGAAACTTAGATATTTTCTGGTCAAACTCATTGCTCTACAGATGATCAAACTGAGCCTGGAGAGACGTGGGCAGCTAAATTTACACACCTTAACATCCCACGGCGGTTAAGCCTTGCAACAGTCATGTCTATAATAATAGTGGCTACTGTTTCTATGGCTTCTTGCTTGCTGGGGACAACATCAAATTGAGATGCCATCTATGACAAGCACCCTGGCGTCTCTCGCAATGTCTCCAGGATTCTCTGTGTTCTCTCCGTTTTGCTGGGACCTCTAGGTCAGGCCCAGGCTCTGCTGATTTTCTGACGCCCACCTGCCTGCAGCTTCTGTGTGGGGTGCTCTTCTCCATACAGTGTCGCTGGGGCTCCGCTGCTAGGACTTCGGCAGTTGTGGGCCTGCTTTGCCCTCCAGTGTGCTTCCTGCCAAAGTCGCCACCACCATGCTGACCAGGTCACTCCCTGGCCATGCTCACCAAGGTCCTCTTGCTGCCATTGTTAAACCTCTTCTTGTTGGACTTTCCCTCTTAGTCTCTTAAAATGATTTCTCTTTAGCTCATCCCTCAGTGTCATACAACGACTTCTCTCCTACAACTTGGGGTGAGTTTTGGTCTGGGTGGAGGACACCCAAGAGTTCATTTCTCCTGCCCCAGTCATGCTTTCGATATGCGATCAAGTCAGTGTGCCTAAGCTTTGACACCTCAAGTCATCTCTACCCCAGGAAAGTTCCCTGCCCACCCCGCACACTGCCCCAAAAGATGAGGAGTGGCCTTTCCTTCTCTTATTGAGAACGAAAAGCCACGTTGGGCCTACTCATAAATCTAAGTGTAACAAGTGTCAGATTACTGATCTGAGTTCTGCTGGGCTAACTCGTAAAGCTAAGTTAATAAGTGTCGGTTTGCTGATTCCCTGCTCATGTTTGTTTTTGCTAGCCAGCTGGATTTTCAGAGAGACATTTCTGGCCTTGGAATGTTGGTTTGCTGCCTCCCTGTCTCTGCTTTTGTGATAATGATGCTGCTAAAGCTGTTCCATGCCTATTGGCTGAGTACCCCAAGCTTGTAATTAACCCTATAAAACCTCATACATACGTTTTGGAGGTGCTCAGAGCTTCGGAGCAGAAGCCCCTCTGAGCCCGCCGGCGAAATAAATCTGCGTACTCCAACCCTCCAACCCTTGTTTCTTGGCTGGCCTGTAGTTTCCATAACATTTCCATATCCAAGTCAGAGTCTTATTTATGGACTGATGGTTGGTTCCAAATGTCCCCTTATGCTTCATCCGGCCAATAGGTCATAACCCCACACAGAGGCTCCTGAGGGCCTCGCACTTACCTGGGTCCCCAGATGTGCAGATCATGCTTCCTCAGGAGCCCACTGCATACAGCATCTATAAATACCTGTAATGATGCCCAAGAGCCTCGCTTAGTTGCACCGACACAGTTTTCATGGTGTTACTATAAGGATAAAGCGATTTCTACTCTAAGCCTAACCTTGTTTTGCTCATACCATTTATGTGATAATCTGCTAAAGAGAGATGCTGGAATTACAGAGACCCTGCATTGGTTATTTGCTGACTCTCCCGAGGGAGCAGGAATGAGCTGTTTCTTTATTCTGCCATAAACACGGGACTGTTTTGATTTCTCAACTCTGTTTTTTTCTGTTTACCTCTGTCAGCTTCTGGATACTAAGAAACTATACTTGGGCCTCTCCAATGGAGCCTACCCTGACCTGGGGAGCAGTCCCGAGGGGCTGCGGAGGGCTGGCCACTGGGGAGGACGCAGGGTATCACCTCCTTTTCCCTGTGCCCTTATCACTCAGAGCTGGCTTTGGCTAAGTTTTGAACCTTTATCCTACATCTCGAACAATCCTCAGTGAACAAAGCTTGGCCATCTCTTTGGGGACAGTGTCTCCCTAGGCCAGGCTGGTCTTCCCGCAGGAGTTGGCTGTCAGGTACCGCAAGGGTGTCGTGAGGTTTCTATCAGAAAGGCATCTTGCATTCTGGCAACAAAAGCCTCAGCCTCCAGCCTGGGTGCAGGTAAACGCCCCCCAGGAGGGCCTCCTGCACGGCCCTGGTGCCAGACACCCATCTCCAGGTGCCCCTCTGAGGGTCCTGGGGAAGCCCTCTGTCCCCAAAATACTCAGAACCCCCTTCTCCTGCAGAAAGACGAATCTCCCCCAAAGGAGCTCCTGACAAGCACTCACCCCTCAAGAGAAATGTGCTTCCTGTTTGCTTTCTCCTCCATGGCAAGCAAACAGCAGCTTCCTAGCCAGCACGTAGGCTCTGGACAGGGTGAGGAATCTTTTGGACAAAGCTCCTTCCTCAGTGAGGCATTGAGCATCCAGGGAGAAGCCTGAGGTGTGAAACATGCTCCCTGTGGCGACAGAAGAAATAGAAAGGTGCTGGCTTGTTTCTTTTCACTGTTTCAAGGAATTAAGTACCCAATGCTAATACCTAAAGCAATTGTTTTGCACTCGAGATTCATATATTTCTATATTTATGCAAACCAACTCTGGGCTGTGGGCTGTGGATGTTCATAGTTTTCAGTCTCTTTGGGGCATCTGACCTCGTGTTCCCCCGCTGGGCAGTTACCCAGAGTCAAAGGAAGCAGGGTGGGTGGAATGTCTCTCACAAATCTCACAGCTGCGCACTCCAGGCTATGCTACCTGCCCTCCTCCAGCCTGAAACCAGCAGGAAACCCCTGTGGTGTTGCAGGGGGAGCAGGTGGGGGTGGGAGGGAGGTTGGGGACCAGGAACAGGGTGGGTTTCTGGGTGGCATGTGTCTGTAGACAAGAGGTGGTTACCTTAATGGTTTTCAAAATTTAGTGTGAACACGAATCACCTGGGAATCTTGTGAAAATGCAGATTCTGACTCAGTGGATCTGGGGTGGGGCCTGAAATTCTGCATTTCTGACAAACTCTTAGTTCAGGCCCATGCTGTCAGTCCCCCAACCGTACTTTAAAAAGCAAAAACTGGTAAAGAAAAAAATAGGAGGTGGTGAGGATTCAAAGACAAAATTTTCCCGCTTCTGTACTTGGGTTTGAGTTCCAAATTGTGTTCCAAATGGCTTTTCATTTATATGCCCAAGGAGACTTTGTTAAAGTTGCTCGTCTTTCCCCAGATACAATACAATGCCTGACGGCCAGTTTTCTGTTAGATTTGTCTGGAGAGCTAGGTATGTAGGTATGTGCTGCCCCCTGCTGGTCATATCCTGGCACACACATCCCACTGGATGGAGCTTTTTGGGGTCTGGAAAGACATTAGATTAATTCCTCCAAACTCACAGGCTCATACTATAACAAGCACCTTGATATCCACATTTTTCAAGCTTTAATACAGGTTATGATTGCATATCTGGTTCTCCAGACTACGTGTTAGATCTGTCAGGCGCCCTTTGTGCTCATTTAGTACTGGGTGGTGGGTGTGTCAGAATGACTGGAGTTTTTGTCACAAGAGACAAGAAGGAATATGTGTCCTGTAAAGGCATTCCAACCTACTCTGGTAGGCAGTCCCTTCTCTCTGCTGAGAACCACCACAGTGTTAATTATTTTTCATATGAAGAAACTGAGGGCTCAGAAAGGCTAAGTGATAGGGCACACTGACAGTGGAAAAGCTAGTCCTAGAACCTGAGCCCTGGGATCCCAGGTCCTGAGTCTCAGGTCATGGCTCTGTGTGGGAGCTGGACAGTCTCCCTCATGACAAGGATGGGTGACTCTTCAGAGTATCACCAACCCCTCCTGCCCAATGAGTCGGTTTGGTCAGAAGGAGGGGAGAGAGGGCGGTGGGGCAGCCTCTACGAATTATTTTTAATACAATAGCTCTGGGAATAACCCAGCTGTGGCTGTCTCCAGGCTTCCTTTGTCAAGGACAATGCTTGTAATGACCCCTGAAAAACCCTAGAATTGGGAATTTAAGCTCCAGGACTTTCCTTTAAAGATTTACTGTGGAAGACAGGGATGGAAGGGATGAGAAACCCCTCTTCCTGTGAATAACACAAATAATATCCTTCCAACTCTCATCTTACAATGGAGGCAACTTCAGCTTACGGTTTGTGCAGTAACCCAGTTAACAGAGGGACTCACTAGCAGGCCACACTAGGTGGCATATTAACTGATGGTGGGGAAAAGGGCCAGAAAGAAAATCAAAAGACAACATGGCTTCTAGCAGCCAAAGAGAAAAGAGAAAAAAATAAAATTGATTGGTGGGGAAAAATCCAAGAGGCCAATTCTGCTCTCTGTCTTTTACTGCTTACCCTCCTTCAGAACTGTTTTATGCCTTCTCCTTTTTCCTAAAGTCGCCAACACGTTTCCCTTCAAATTTAGCTGATGATCTCAATGCATGTTTACAGACACTGATACGCAGAGAAAATGGACAAGCACCAGCTCATTTCTCTGCTGTCAAGTCTACCACCTCCTGCCTCTGCCGTCTTGCACCCACGAGAAGCTTCCCTCCAGTTGAAGCTTCCCTCCAGTTAGAAAAGGAGACATGACTGTGGTCCTAATGAGGACTTTCTAGAGGATGAGAAAACAAGGAGAGTTTAAGGGAATCAGTTCCCAGATCCTCTTGGAGCCCAAAAATGGTCTAAGCTGGGGCCTCTTACACCCTGCTGGTCATGTAGACATTCTTGTTACGTAACCAGCCCCAGGGCTGGACTCCTTTGGTGGTGGTGGGGGTGCTAATTAATACCAGGGGCAAATCACGGCTATCACCAGGGAATTACATTTCTTATTTCGTAAGACAGTTTCATCTAGTTCCAGGCCTGCAAGTGTGCAGTCCACCCCCGATCTGTAGTCAAAGCCTCCTTTACGATAAAAGAAAACACTCTTAGTTTGACAGTACTTACTCGCCTTGTAACATTGCCTAATCAGACAGACATCAAACTGTACATGCAGATTCCAAACATTTTCAATAGCCAGGGAGAGGCTGTTTTAGATTTAAACAAAGAGCTGAAGCACTCAGTGTTTGCAGCACAAACTCTCTCATGTTTTTGTAGTAACTTTACAAATCTTTTGCTTCCCTGATCTCTACGTGCATACAGTTTATGCTATAGATCTATTGTGTAGTTAAGAACCATAATCGATCATTAATTACATCTGCATCTTCAGACCAACTCTTTTCCATAAAAATAATGTCCTGGAGGGGCTTTAATTCAATTTCCTAATAAATGTGATTATCAACATCAGTACTATCATGAGTTTCACTAGCTTCAACAACATTACTTCTATCCATGCTTTCTAAATTACAGCAAGTAGTACTCTGGGTAGATGGTTACAACATGAATCAGACACAATTACAGTATAACTAATTTTTTCACTCTCAACAAAAATCCACCTTTGTGTACACGGTACGAATTACTTTCCTATTGCTGCTGTAATAAATGGCTACAAACTGAATGGCTTAAAACAATGCCAATTTCATACGTATCTTACACTTCTAAAGGTCAGAAGTCTGACGTGATTCTCACTGGGCTAAGGTCAAGGTGTTGGCAGGCCTGCTTCCTTGTGTGGAAGCTCTAGGGGAGATTCCGTTTCCTTGCTTTCTCCAGCCTCTGGAGGCTGCCCGCATCCTGGGCTGTGGCTCCTTCCTCCATGCTCAAAGCCAGCCATGTTCGCTGAGTCCTTCTCATGCTGCCTCTCTGATTCCCTCTCTCCTCACCTCTCTTCTAACCCCTTCCAGTGTCATCACATGGGCTCGCTTGAATAATCCACGATCCTCTCCCCATCTCAAAGTCAACGTATTAGCAAACAATTTCACCTGCAATCTTAATTCTCCTGTGCCAAGTAACCTAACATAGTCCACAGGTTCCAGGAATTAGGACATGAATATCTTTGGGGGGATTTCGGTATTATTTTCCTACCATATCCTATATATTATTTCTCAGCAGAGTATAAACTTGAGGCCAAGTCTCTGTTATTCCAGGATTCAAAATGTCTGAGTAGAGAAATAAGAAGTCTTGAGTACCCAGCCAAATTCCTCTGGTTTTATGGCTTAAATAAATATTGATTTCCGATGAGAAAAGTCCACAACAGGGTCTATGGGAGGCCCTCTAGTCGTGTTTAAAATATGTCCACTTGAAAGAGTAATAAAACAATTACCTACAAAAAAAAAAAAGAGCAAAAAAACAATTACCTACAATTACCTACAAAAAGGGCAACAGGTCTAGACAATGTTAAGGTTGCATTTTACAAACTTTAAAGCAACAGATCATTTTCATGTCATAAAAATGGTTCCAAAACATAGGGAAGAAAAAAGAGAGATGGAGAGAAGCCACCTAGTTGTTTCATCAGACTAGCAAACCCTGTAACGAATAACTATTATTCAGCGCCCTGCATACACCCACCAGCCCATTCAAGGCCCCTCAGTGTGTCATTTGTTCTCACTTCCACTTTTTTCCCTTTGCCCTTCAACCCTGCTGCCTGCACCCTGTCCCCTCCCCAGCCCTTGTCATGGGCCAGCACTCCGGTGTATTTGCAACCTTGTAAAACGGGTTCTGTATGCTTGGGTTTTTAAATTTCATAAATGACATTCTGTAAAAAAAAAATGTATCATAGGGCAAGAAAACTATTGGCTAATCTTATACATGAATGTAGATGCAAAATTCTTTTACAACTACTTTTCCAGTATTCATCTCAATATATTACATGTACTATTATGTTCGGATGTCCAAGATATTGTTCAGCTAAAAAGTTGCAAAAAATCGTGCACAATAGTATCCATAAATAAATTAAAAAATAAATAAAATGTCCAATTAACATGAGTTGCAGCACGAGGAAAAGAAAGGTTAGTGCTCAGTCATGGTGCTGACGCTGGGAAAGACATCCCAACAGGGTGCATGCCCCAGTTACAGATTTTCATAGACTGGAGGGCCTGTAAGTCCCCCACAAGTATTAACTTGGGCCTCTGCTGTGAGCACCCCTGGCCACTGTGCCTGGGATACCTCTGACTGCATTCACGTAAAGACATCAAACAACTTGGCTTGTGTGGACCTGCTTGCTCGTTCCTGTTGCTGGGTTTGGGCGTGTCGTCCTAATATCTGCCCTAATTGCAGGGCCCATTTTATCGATGCTGAGTTA